TTTTTTTTTTTTTTTTTTTTTTTTCTCCTTTACTTCTCTGAAGGCCCTCAAAAAGGAAAATAAGAAATTAAAGAAAGTCTTATGAACGCATTCTAATCTAATGTCCAAGTTACTTTTCTTGTAGCCATATCATATTTTACAGTGTGCATCTAACAATAATTTCTTTTTGATCTCTTGCAGGATATATCTGCCCCATCCAATAACGAGCCTGCCCGAGAAGGCGAAGGGCCATCAGAAGTCCTCCTCGAGCATCGCCAAGCTGCCCAAAACATGTATTATAATAATAATAATACTGTAATCGAACGTGGGCCCTCCTCGGACGATATCCCAATGGAAATAGTCGAGCTCCTGGCCAAGAATCAACACGATAAAGCCCATGACAATTCAAGAAAACATCTCGGGCCCGAAGGCATCATCAATAGCTCTTTTAAGCGGGCCCATTATGTTGAAAATAACCGTGGCCCGTTCAATTTTTCTTACGGGAGCCCAAGAACCGGCCCAAATGTCGCGAATGGTAACATGGGACTCGGTCAGGAATTCTTAAATCCCGACAAGACCCAGTTGAGACACTTGAGCCCGTTAACAGCGGCCCATTCAAGGATACCGCTTTATCCTGGCCCAAATCCCCTGTCCAGGCCCAAACCAAGGGAGGGTGTGGATCTATTATGGCCCCCGAGAAGAAAAAGCGTGACTTTCGATCTAGCGGGTTTGGAAGATCATAGCTATAGGGGCAAAAGTATTGGTTACTTGAGCTGTGATCAGGGGAAAAAAGCTGCTACTGACGAGTCTTTGGTCAAAGAGGGGAAAATCGGGCTGGGCTGTAGGCCCGTTGGGCCCATTGATACGTATTCGAACGAGACAATCCCAGCCATGCAGCTGCTGTCCTTAATGGACCAAGGGGCCATTTCGGGCTCTAAAGTAGGCCCGAATAATTTTCTTGATCGACAATTCTCTCCATGCAACCATCACCCAAGGCTGAATAAAAACGATAACCCAAACGAAAAATTCGTTGGCTCCTCTTCATTTTTCATGAAAAGTAATAACCATATCATCAATGACTTCCCTACTTTGCTCAATGGTGCTCGTTTTTCAGGCGAAAGCTCGAAGAAATCTTTTTCACAAGGTAAATTAAACATTTTATTTATTTATTTATTTTTCCTATGGTTCTCGGTTAATTTTGTGCGGCGGGCTAAATGATGATTGACGAGAAGCTCAAGGGATGCTTTTGCAATTATACATATCTTTATTATAGACTTGAGGTTCTGAAAATGTTGCACATTTTGCAGTTCAAATATTGCCACAACAAAATGGATATTCAAAATCTGTCGATCACTTGGGGGGCCCCAGTAATCTTGCAGGCCAGGCTTCGAGAAGTGATGATCTTAAGCTGGAGATTTGCACGCTGAATCGCAACCCGGCTGATTTCAGCATTCCAGATTCGAGAAACGTATTCATGATAAGCGCGAAGGATTTGAAACCAAAGAGAAGGATTTCGTCCAAGGATAGAGGTCGGCCGCCTGTGAATTTTGACGGCCCAAAGAGACCGAAGATGAGAAATAACTCGTCCGTAAAGAAAGCCAGAGAGAATAACAGTCGAGCGGGTTAATGAATCCTTTCGAGCTTTACAAATCTTTTCTTTTGTGTCAAAATCTTGTTTGATCAACTCCTAGTTGTCATTTTTTTTTTTTTTTTCTGGGTTTTGTTTTGTTATGGTTTGAGGTTTGATGCTCTAAGACAGTTTAGTTTGTGTTGTCTTTATGTTGGGATTTTATTTATTTATTTTGTTTTTAGCTGAGATTTTTTCAGGATTTGTTGTTAATATGTGTACACAACAAACTCAGGTGGATATCTCATCATCCTCTGCTACTTGGAATTTCCATAAGTTATGATAAAGTTTTTACAGGGTTGGAATATATGTTTGTTAATTTCTGTATTTATTTTATTTAGTTCCTTTATTTTTAATTAATTTTATTTTATGCTGATTCATTTTATCCTGTGTGATTGTCATCATGAGTACTTGGATATGGAAAAGTGGTGATGTCTTTATATTTACTAATTAAATTTACTACTACTTCACATCACAGTTCATTGAGGGTGTGTGGTGACTGTAGTGTATGTTCGAGTTTTTCAAAATACAGTTTTAAATATTCCAATTATATTTGGGAATTGGACTTGATGCATTGTAATATAATGGAAAATTCGACCCTACACACCACTGTAGTGCAATTATAAGAGTTTCTACGAGTTTTTTTTTTTAATATTGGATTGAATTGTGTGTTGATCTAGCAGTAGAAGACTCGATAACAGCGCAATTATCGAGTTTTTTACTATTGAATTGAATTGTGTGTTGATCTAACAGTAGCAGACTCGATTACAGCGTTGCAGTGTGTGACTACAAAATTAGCCAAGTATATTTGTAAATAAGAAAGTTTGTCCCCTTTTCCCCTTGAAAAAAAGTTCAGAAACCTAATTTGAGCAGCGCCGCCCCCCTCCTCCCCCCTCTCCTCTTTCGGCAGGTCGCCCTCTGCGACCAACGGGCTGACCTTGGCCGAGTCCCGGCTGAGGGCTGCTTTTCCACCCCTCCTGGTTTAGGTGGTTGACTGGGCCGAAGGTGGATTTTACCGCCTTGTCTTCCCGGGCACCGGAGGGATTGCCGACCGTCGTCTCCAGCTCCAGCCGAGGGAGCCGCCCTGCCACTGGAGTTCTGTTCTCGTCTGCCTCCGTTTAGTTCCTTGGAGGACGCCATCGCTCGACTGCAGTTTGCCATGGTGAGGCTGCCCCGACTGGCCAACGGTCTGCCTGGATCCTGGCTTTCCGGGCTGGGTTGTTTCAGGTGCGGGTCCGTCTAGGCTGTTCTCTTCGGGATTTTGTCTTGAGCCCTCCGGCATGTTCTTGGTGGTCTCCCTTCCTATCCCAGGCATTGAAGTTCTTCGGAGTCCAAATCAGGGTCGAAAATCCGTTTAGGTGGGTTGAGTGTTGCAGTTTTCAGGTTTGGAGCTTAGTTCTTGTTGCTCGGTTGGGGTTCTTTGTTGTGGGTGTGACTCGGTTGTTGGTTTAGGTGGTTGTGGGGTTTGTCTGCTAGGTTTAGGGGATGTTTTATTTTATTTTGTTTATTAAGTGTGAGTTATTTTTTTATCCTTCTGTATTGTTTTTTCGTTTAGTCCAGTTGTGTCTGGTTGTTAGTCTTCTCTTTGGAGTTGGTGTCTCCTTTATGGAGTTTTGTGTTTTTGCGATTAGGTCTCCTTGATGGAGTTTGTACCCCCTTGACAACGTGTGTGGATTCAAGTCGGGGCGAATCTAGCGAACAGAATGAGTGGGGGCCTAGTTGTTATTAGAAAAAAAAAAATATATTATAAGAAAAGTATAAGTACACAAATACACATTTATAATATACTTATGAGTTTTCATATATAACTCAACATCGTCCTATGATAACATTGTATAATAACATTGTTCAATTTTTTGAACTATCGCACTTTCTTTTGGCCAATGTCTAACAATATTAGAATTCGCCTCAAGTAATTGGAATCAAAGTATCTCATTTCAAAATATTTTAACGTGAACTTTTTTTTTGAGGCATTTTACAAAAATATTTCTCCATAATTAATGTTGAAAAAATAATTATAATGTATAAAAAGAGCTATACTCTATAAAATGCTTCACTAATATATGAAACTTCTAAGAGGCTACAACTTAAGTTATTAACCACACACAAATTATAGTCGATGGTATTTTTTTTCTATAATTAAAAAGAAACAATCAGTTAACTAGAAGAGTGCTAAAAAATACAATAAGTGTGTAAATTTTTCTTTCTATTTTAATTAGAAAAAGGTAAAATTACTTTCACCAAAATTAGTAAGAAGTAAGAACAATGATTTCTTATCTCCATTACTTCTCTCTTTTCTTTTTTTTTTTTTTTTGTCTTTATGTAAATATTGTCATTAATTTTTATTTTAATTTTTTTTATTAATAGGGTGTTAAACTATTATTTGAGTTATAGTTGTACCTAATTCATAATATTTTTTATTTTTTCAGTGTGGGCGTAGGCCCACACTGGTCTATATGTAGCTCCTCCCCTAGATTCAAGGGGTGTTGGTCCAGTTTTTCCGGTTCCATAGTGTTAGTTGACACTTTGATCTGTACTCTTTTTGAATTTTTAAGTTAATTACTAATATATTTACCATTTGAAAAAAAAAAATTGCAAAATCGAAAGAATATTTATGATACACAATTTTTAATTGTAAGAATAAAATGTATAGAAACGTATCATCAACTATATAATTTACTTAATTGATTTTATTTTTCCATTTTCAACTATAAAGACAAAAAACAATCATGTCAAACAAACATGTAATCGTCGCTATAAGTTTTGTGCAATAAAACAGGTTTATCAAGAAACCCTAATATAAATATTGCTTTATATATATACTAACCCGAATTTATTTTTATATTGGATGTTGTTGAAATAAAATTCAAATATTAATGTCAATTTTTTAAGGTCACTAGTTTTAATCGTGTGTAGTGCTACTGTCAATTGCATGTTGTGTTATTACTAATTTAAAACTATTTTAAAATATAAAAACAATATATATATATATATATATATATATATTAGCTTTTGAGAGAAAAAAAATACTTTTTTTAAATAAATGTTTGTGTTCTTTAGATGACTATAAAATTTTAAATGAAATACTTTGTTCATAAGTTTATTGAACCATCTCGTTCTATGTCCACCATGTTATATCTGCTGTTTTATTATTATTATTATTATTATTATTATTATTATTATTATTATTATTATTATTATTATTATTATGTTATGAGTAGAAGATACATTTCTAAATGCATGAAGACAATCATATATCCATGCAACAAAATAAAATAAAAAACAAAATATTTTGTTAAGGAAAATAACCTAGGCAGCCAACAGCCAAGCCATATCGGCATGGTATATATATATATATCGCAAATACTTAGGTGTGTCCTGGCACACCTAACAAGGTGTGCCAAGGCTTTTTTAAAATGAACATGTTACTTTATAAAATTAACATGTGTAAATATTTTTACACATATTCATTTTATAAAATAACATGTTCATTTTAAACTGTCCAAGACACACGGTAGTAGCACTGGTATATATATAGCCTTCGAAAGATGGAGATAGTGACATGTCACACCGTGTGATTGTAATGTGGCCACGTCTCATTCTATCTTCTCCTACAGACACGTCTTGTCAAACTTTCTTTTTCAATTCTTCTTTAAAACAGATAAATATAGGGAGATGTTACACTTTCATTACCAAACAATTTCTGTCACTATTTGTAATCCTTTTATCATCATACATGTAACTATCGGCAATAATTGATCTAACAGTTAAAAATCTTTATAAAATAGTTCCGTAACAGAAGCATAAGTCTAATATATATATATAGATGCGAATATGTATTAATCCAATTGTTAAAAATTATATCAAATGGTTAAAAATCTGGTGGAAATTAACATTGTAGCCGCAGACCTGTATTAGGTCCGGCCCCCCTCAATTTTTTCAATATATATATATATACACTATAAAAAATGAATAAAAATGCAAAAAAAATATGTAAAATATATAAATAATTAAAACTTATTCTCAATGCTATTTTAATTTAAAGTAAATAAATCTATTTATTTATTGAAAAATATACTAACAATCATTATATTTTATATTTCTGGATAATATTTTGAGAATATTTATAATAATTTACTCTTTCGGTCTTTTAATTGTAATTTCAATTTAATGATTTGAATAATGCTACTTGTACCTCCTGGTGTACCATTTGGTTTACCTCCAAAGGGTACATGTATCCATTTACCCTTAATGAATAATTAATAAATTATTCATTAAGGGTAAATGGGTACATGTACACTTTGAAGGTAAACCAAGCGGTACAAGGGTACATGTAGCATGATCCTAATGATTTATATAACTTACAATTTAGTTGGATTGTTAGATGTTTTAATGTTAATCGATTGTATATTTGAATGTTGATTTTTTTACTTTATTATTTTTTTATGTAATCACATATTTTCAATTTTATTTAATTTTTTATTAAAAAATGGTCATTTGATAAGCTCTAATCAACCAAAATGATATGCAATGTGTTCAATTTAATTCAAATTTTGAACAAAAAAACATATTTTTCATAAATTAGGATCTTAAACTTAAATTATAAATACACGAAATCTCTTTTTTTTCTTAAAAAAAAGTTTGAGCTTGATACGGATTCTAAGTTCTTATAAAAACTTGAAGGTACACATATTAATATCTATAATTATAAGTAAACAAAACTTTATATGAAATGAACGTTTGTACATAAATTACAAACTCGTTACTTAACACTTAAACTCGAGCCCCCCTGAGTTAAAATCCTAGCTCCGTCACTGATTGTAGGATAAAAAGAGCCATTTGTCATATATAGTATGTGGTCCTACTAAAGAAAAAAGAATGTTAGAGTATAAAATAGCATTTCAGCATTTTATATAAGTTATCTGTAAAACACGTTTTATGCTTTTTCCTTAGCATTTTATGTTTGTATATTGGGCTCCATATAAATAGCCCAAACCCTA